GAATTTCTTTTAAATGATACACCTGTCCCTAATCGAGTGGGAATGTGTTCGAGGGTCCCTTAGGTCTTTCCAGGAAGTTTGGAGCATTTTAATTTTTTGACAAAAATTGGCAAACATTGCTAGGGGTTAGCCTTACATTGTTCATAAAATTTGGCTAAAATATGAATTTCTTTTTATTGATATATCTGTCCCTAAATCGAGTGGGAATGTGTTCGAGGGTCCCTTAGGAGTCTTTTCAGGAAGTTTGGAGCATTTTCATTTTTTGACTAAAATTGGCAAACATTACGAGGGGTTAGTCTTACATTTGTCATAAAATTTGGCTAAAATATGAATCACTTTTTATGATATATCTATCCCTTAAACGAGTTGGAATGTGTTCGAGGGTCCCTTAGGACTCTTTCCAGGAAGTTTGGAGCATTTCATTTTTTTGATTAAAATTGGCAAAAATAGCAAGGGGTTAGCCTTTCATTTTTCATAAAATTTGGCTAAAATATAATTTCTTTTTAATGATATATCTGGCCATAAATTGAGTGAAAATGTGTTCGAGGGTCCTTTAGGAGTCTTTCCAGGAAGTTTGGGGCAATTTCATTTTTTGACAAAAATTGACAAAATAGCAAGAGGTTAGCCTTACATTTTTCATAAAATTTGGCTAACATATGAATTTCTTTTTAATGATATATCTGTCCCTAAATCGAGTTGGAATGTGTTCCAGGGTCTATTAGGAGACTTTCCAGGAAGTTTGGAGCATTTTTATTTTTTTTTGACCAAAATTGGCAAACTTTGCAAGGGGTTGACCTTACAGTTTTCATAAAATTTGGCTAAAATATGAATTTCTTTTAATGATATATCTGTCCCTAAGTCGAGTAGGAATGTGTTCCAGGGTCCCTTAGGAGTCTTTCCAGGAGTTTCGAGCAATTTCATTTTTTGATAAAAATTGACAAAATAGCAAGGGTTAGCCTTACATTTTTCATAAAATTTGGCTAAAATATGAATTTCTTTTTAATGATATATCTGTCCCTATATCGGGTTGGAATGTGTTCCAGGGTTCCTTAGGAATCTTTCAAGAAGTTTGGAACAATTTCATTTTTTGACAAAAATTGCAAAGGGTTAGCCTTACATTTTTCATAAAATTTGGCGAAAATATGAATTTCTTTCTCATGATATATATGTCCCTCCATCGAGTTGGAATGTGTTCCAGGGTCCCTTAGGTCTTTCCAGGAAGTTTGGAGCATTTCAATTTTTTGACCAAAATTGGCAAACATTGCAAGGGGTTAGCCTGACATTTTTCATAAACTTTGGCTCCAATATGAATTTCTTTTTTCATGATATATCTGTCCCTAAATCGAGTTCGAAATGTTCCGGGGTCCCTTAGAGTCTTTCAAAAAGTTTGGATCAATTTCATTTTTTGACGAAAATTGAAAAAAATTGCAAGCCGTTAGCCTTACATTTTTCATCAAATTTGGCTAAAATATGATTTCTTTTTAATGATATATCTGTCCCTAAATCGAGTTGGAATGTGTTCCAGGGTCCCATAGGAGTCTTTACAGGAAGTTTGGAGCATTTTAATTTTTTTGACCAAAATTGGCAAACATTGCAGTTTTCATGAAATTTGGCTAAAATATGAATTTCTTTTTAATGATATATCTGTCCCTAGTCGAGTAGGAATGTGTTCCGGGGTCCCTTAGGAGTCTTTCCAGGAGTTTGGAGCAATTTCATTTTTTGACAAAAATTGACAAAATATAGCAAGGGGTTAGCCTTACATTTTTCATAAAATTTGGCTCAAATATTAATTTCTTATTAATGATATATCTGTCCGTAACTCGAGTAGGAATGTGTTCCAGGGTCCTTTAGGAGTCTTTCCAGGAAGTTTGGAGCAATTTCATTTTTTGACAAATTGACAAAATTCCATGGGGTTAGCCTTACATTTTTCCTAAAATTTGGCCAAATATGAATTTCTTTTCAATGATATATCTGTCCCAAAATCGAGTTGGAATGTGTTCTAGGGTCCCTTAGGAGTCTTTCAAGTAAGTTTGGAGCAATTTGATTTTTTGACCAAAATTTACAAAATTTGCAAGGGGTTAGCCTTACATTTTTCATAAAATTTGCCTCAATATGAAGTTCTTTTTAATGATATATCTGTCCCTAAATCGAGTAGGAATGTGTTTCCAGGGTCCCTAAAAGTCTTTCCAGGAAGTTTGGAGCATTTTCATTTTTTTGACCAAAATTGGCAAACATTGCAAGGGTTAGCCTTACATTTTTCATAAAATTTGGTTAAAATATGAATTTCTTTTAATGATATATCTGTCCCTCCATCGAGTGGGAATGTGTTTCGAGGGTCCCTTAGAGTCTTGCCAAGAAGTTTGGAGCATTTTCATTTTTTGACCAAAATTGGCAAACATTGCAAAGGGTTAGCCTTACATTTTTCATACAATTTGGCTAAAATAGATTTCTTTTTTTTAATGATATATCTGTCCCTAAATCGAGTGGGAATGTGTTCGAGGGTCCCTTAGTAGTCTTTCCAAGAAGTTTGGGGCATTTTTCATTTTTTGACCAAAATTGGCAAACATTGCAAAGGGTAAGCCTTACATTTTTCATACAATTTGGCTAAAATGGAATTTCTTTTTAATGAAACATCTGTCCCTCAATCGAGTTGGAATGTGTTCGAGGGTCCTTTAGGAGTCTTTCCAGGAAGTTTGGAGCATTTTCATTTTTTGACCAAAATTGACAAACATTGCAAGGGTTAGCCTTTCATTTTTCATAAAATTTGGTTAAAATATGAATTTCTTTTTAATGATATATCTGTCCCTAAATCGAGTGGGAATGTGTTCGAGGGTCCCTTAGGAGTCTTGCCAAGAAGTTTGGAGCATTTTCATTTTTTGACCAAAATTTGCAAACATTGCAAAGGGTTAGCCTTACATTTTTCATACAATTTGGCTAAAATAGAATTTCTTTTTAATGATATAGCTGTCCCTAAATCGAGTGGGAATGTGTTCGAGGGTCCCTTAGGAGTCTTTCCAAGAAGTTTGGGGCTTTTTCATTTTTTGACCAAAATTTGCAAACATTGCAAAGGGTTAGCCTTACATTTTCATAAAATTGGCTAAAATATTAATTTCTTTTTAATGATATATCTGTCCCTAAATCAATTGGGAATGTGTTCGAGGGTCCCTTAGGAGTCTTTCCAAGAAGTTTGGAGCATTTTCATTTTTGACCAAATTTTCAAACATTGCAAGGGGTTAGCCTTACATTTTTCATAAAATTTGGTTAAAATATGAATTTCTTTTAATGATATATCTGTCCCTCAATCGAGTGGGAATGTGTTCGAGGTTCCCTTAGGAGTCTTTCCAAGAAGTTTGGAGCATTTTTATTTTTGACCAAAATTGGCAAACATTTCAGGGGTTAGCCTTACATTTTTCATAAAAATTGGCTAAAATATTAATTTCTTTTTAATGAACATCTGTCCCTCAATCGAGTTGGAATGTGTTCGAGGGTCCCTTAGGAGTCTTTCCAGGAAGTTTGGAGCATTTTCATTTTTTGACCAAAATTGGCAAACATTGCAAGGGGTAAGCCTTACATTTTTCATAAAATTTGGCTAAAATATGAATTTCTTTTTAATGGTATATCTGTCCCTCAATCGAGTGGGAATGTGTTCGAGGGTCCCTTAGGAGTCTTTCCAGGAAGTTTGGAGCATTTTCATTTTTTGACCAAAATTGGCAAACATTGCAAGGGGTAAGCCTTACATTATACTTGGACGCAAAAGAGATAAAGGGAAAACAAATATTCTTGGTTCTTTGCTGCAGCCAAAAGCAGCTATTTATTAGACCAAAACTTCTTGAGATACCAAACGATGGACCATCACTATGGTCCCTTAAACTTGTTAGTGGGCACACCTGACCCAAACCAATTGGACCTTTACCTTGGTCATCTTTTTGTGGACACACCTGACCCGAACCAGTTGGACCTTTACCTTGGTCATCTTTTTGTGGGCACACCTGACCCGAACCAGTTGGACCTTTACCTTGGTCATCTTTTAGTGGGCACACCTGACCCAAACCAATTGGACCTTTACCTTGGTCATCTTTTGTGGGCACACCTGACCCGAACCAGTTGGACCTTTACCTTGGTCATCTTTTTGTGGGCACACCTGACCCGAACCAGTTGGACCTTTACCTTGGTCATCTTTTAGTGGGCACACCTGACCCAAACCAGTTGGACCTTAACCTTGGTCATCTTTTGCGGGCACACCTGACCCAAACCAATTGGACCTTAACCTTGGTCATCTTTTAGCGGGCACACCTGACCCAAACATGGACCTTACTTTTGGTCCTAATTTTATTGTGTTTTTAATTCCATGTGATATTAACACAGATGTGCTGTTCAATCGTCGTACGGCTGGATCGAACAATAATCTCTCGTGGAACAGCAGGAGAGTTTGCAAGTCTGTGTAATTCATAAATCTCTAATTAACATAAAACGTTATTAAACCTACATTCTACAAAAACAGTTTTTCAAAAAAAATACCATGGCTGTCTGACTCCCGCAAATAAGGCCGAATCAGTCATTAAGGCGGAAGGAAGGGGAGGAGGCGGATGACGAAAAATAGAAGTTTTGGTCAAGTTTCTTGCTGAAAAGCTGCAACGCAATGATGGCCGCCAAGCCTCGTGGTCTTGGCTAAATACCTAGGCCATTGGACAGACCTTCCATCTGATTGGTCAGGGTAAGATATCATGAATCTTCATTGGTCAATCTAAACCTCACAATCTGCATATCAGCAAAACAAGACCATATTTGGTAAGGAATTTGTTTCCTTCGGTTTCTTGCGCAATTGGTCAACGGAACATCTTCAGATTTCGCAACCAACTCGAGACAAAGGCTGAACGTTGTTTGTTGCGCAACTCAAAAACTACATAAAAACTTAAAGTGCACCAAGTATAAAGCATTTTATCTTTCAGAGATAAAATCAATTATACTTGGACGCAAAAGAGATAAAGGGGAAACAAATATTCTTGGTTCTTTGCTGCAGCCAAAAGCAGCTATTTATTAGACCAAAACTTCTTGAGATAACCAACGATGGACCATCACTATGGTCCCTTAAACTTGTTAGTGGGCACACCTGACCCAAACCAATTGGACCTTTACCTTGGTCATCTTTTTGTGGGCACACCTGACCCGAACCAGTTGGACCTTTACCTTGGTCATCTTTTTGTGGGCACACCTGACCCGAACCAGTTGGACCTTTACCTTGGTCATCTTTTAGTGGGCACACCTGACCCAAACACATTGGACCTTTACCTTGGTCATCTTTTTGTGGGCACACCTGACCCGAACCAGTTGGACCTTTACCTTGGTCATCTTTTTGTGGGCACACCTGACCCGAACCAGTTGGACCTTTACCTTGGTCATCTTTTAGTGGGCACACCTGACCCAAACCAGTTGGACCTTAACCTTGGTCATCTTTTGCGGGCACACCTGACCCAAACCAATTGGACCTTAACCTTGGTCATCTTTTAGCGGGCACACCTGACCCAAACATGGACCTTACTTTTGGTCCTAATTTTATTGTGTTTTTAATTCCATGTGATATTAACACAGATGTGCTGTTCAATCGTCGTACGGCTGGATCGAACAATAATCTCTCGTGGCACAGCAGGAGAGTTTGCAAGTCTGTGTAATTCATAAATCTCTAATTAACATAAAACGTTATTAAACACTACATTCTACAAAAACAGTTTTTCAAAACAAAATACCATGGCTGTCTGACTCCCGCAAATAAGGCCAAACGCACAGCGTCCCAAGGGAAAGACAGACCAACAAGCATGACCAAATTACAATATGAATCAACAGTCATGCGAAAAAAGCTAAACTATAATTATGTATGCCACATTACAAAAAGGCAGAAACGGCTTGGCACAGATTATCACGAAAAACGCGATTGCCTAGAGGAGACAGATGTACTGCATCAAATGTATAGAGGGCAGACTCAGTCCACTTGAATTGTGGATGATGTAAATTACTAACCCCCATCCAACTACCCTGAGACCGCGCCCAGCGGTTCAATGTACGCCGTTTTTTCTCCATCCCTTTCTGCGACCGAGCCCCGAAATAGTACAGACGCGGTAATAAATCGGACCAAATCACTGTGGCATGCGGGAATTGCTCGGCACAAGTACGCATTGATAAAACTAATCTTTGTCTGAAGGAAAATTCATCGACCGCAATCAAATCGTTAGTTCCCAGATGAATAAGCAGAATTGACGGGGGAGGGCCAGGTATATCTGTCAACAGCTGATGTACATTACCTAGTTGTGCACCACTTTGTCCTTGCCACATCACTGTGAGTGGGAGACTTAAAGGGGCTTCCGCCCAACGCACTATCGAATCTCCCACTATCCATACTGGACCTAGGAACAATGCAAAGGACATTATGGCCGTGAATAATCACCGATTTGCTTGTCTGAAAGTATACTGGTCTACACCCCTGGCCATGGAGAACTTGGCACAGGACGTATGTATGTGTTAACCGCGTTTGAGCGCCATCGACCCATGGATTGTATGCTTTCTCGAGGGACCCCCATTTGAAATGCCACAGAGGCTGCTCCTATCCGCAAGGAATGACCTCTAATGCGGTCGGCAGGTATGTTGTTAAATGCGAGTGCTTTCTTAAGTACTGCGTTGAACTGATAACGAGTAAGGGGGCTACAATCAAAATGGCAGAAGTATGGACCTGCGTGGTGTGGACGTACCTGAGCATATGTGCGCAGCGCTGAAACTGGACAAATAGAAACATTATCAGATGGCTGTAAACATACAAGTTGTGGAGGACCACGTTGATTATTTTTACTCTGTTTAAATGATATGTTAACAGAACATCCGGAATTGTTGTGCAAAAATTCAACGTCAGAATCAGTAATCAAAGATGGTTGGGTTTGACTAGATCGTGAGTTAGCCGTGAATTCTCCAATACGCATGAAACCAAAAAAACGCACTTAAAATTGCGGCTGAAAACATTTGGGACTCATACAGAGATGAACAAACATGGGGAAGAGACTGCACGATCTGAGTTAGCATGGGTATAGAAATGGGCAGGCGAGAATCTCGTGAGGGGCGTGCGCGGCGGCAACCCTCAAGTAGTTTGGAAACCAAATAATCTTTAGTTGGGTCAGGCCAACCTTGTAACCTGTGTTTGTATCCAACTGCCGATACGTAGGTAGCAATGGTAGATGGGGAAATAGATTGCAATGATAGCCAGGCTATAAACTGCCGGATCTCATACGTATTCGCCGGGTTCACCCCTGATAGTCGCTGTTGACGAAACCGACAAAATGAAGCCCAACCCGTTTCATATGTTTTATGAGTACCTGGTGCTAATGAAGCGTCTAACAGCCGGCGCATTTCATCCTCTACCAGACCGCAGGAAGATGAGGTAACGGAGTTGGGATCGGGTCTGCTTGTGGGGCCAGTTCGCGGAAACGGGACATCTGGAAACGGGATAGAGAGTCAGCAATTTCATTGTGTACCCCGGGCACATGCACGGCTTTGAAAACAATATTATACTTCAGGCATTCTAGAACAAGTAGACGCACCAGATGCATAATCCGTGGGCAGGGAGATGATTGCTTGTTAGGCCCCGTGGATTAATTCCGATTTGCGTGCGCCCCCGTGCGCCCCCGTGCGCACGCGTGCGCACGCGTGCTCATGCGTGCTACCCCGTGCTGCACGGGTCTGCCCGCAATTGCGTGCCGTTGCGTGCCGTTGCGGGCAACTGCGTGCCATTGCGTGCTTATGCGGGCTATTGAGCACAGGCAAGGGTTGCTACACTAATCCCTAGATTAACGCTGACAAAAGAAATTGGGTAGCCGGCCAAGGCGGCACCAGACAAAGAGGTTGTGATAAATAATGAAAGGTTTGCGATGAAAGGGCTGGAGTTCCAATGACATAAAAGACGTTGGTGCCTGGCAGTGCCACAATGCATGGTGTCTGGATTACTCTTTTACGATACGTGACATTACATGTACATGTACTACACTTTACGTACGTAAGGCTAGGCTATTTTCATAGCTTTTTTTGCGTCGTTTGATTGAGCTCCGGACATATTATATTTCTTTTTATTTTTCGTTGAGAGCTTCGGTTTTAATTGAAAGACACCGAACGTTCTTACTGTAAATATGAACGTCAATTGAAAGACTGCTTTATTTATGTCATTATTCTTAATTTATATTAATCTGCATTTTTAAGAAAGTTCCACTCCATTATTCAAGTTAAACACCAATTATTGAAAGAGAAAGAATACACATCATCAAGTTCATTTTCATCATTCAACTTTATAGTCCTCCGATCAAAAGTCATGATAGGCACTGCTGTACATCAATCATAGGCCTGCACGTACGTATCGTCATGATATGTTGATAAAGTAATAGGCCTCATAATTGGGGCCGCGCCCATTGAGAGTCAAGTTGATTTTTTTGTTGCAATGGCGATCGGTATTTTATTTGCTGTAGGCCCATGCATGCACAATTGAAGTTGAATGTTTCATTGTAACTGTTGTATCCATTTTCTCATTGACATAAAAAAAAATGTTATGTGCTCTCAAATTTTCAATTTTGAATTACACCGACCCTAGTAAAATTTGCACTGACGACATTCCGGTACCCTGGCCGGGCGGATGCCAAATTTCAAAAGTAAATACATGTATCAGGTGTGTTTATGTTTATGAAGTTGATACTCCAATCAATCAAAGACTGTGACTCACATTTACATAATTAACAAGCAAACCGCGTAAAGATCGTGAGACTGTCATGGAGACATGATTCGTCGCCGGCCCCCAAAAAGTATTATTCACGTTCCCAGTGCCGGCCCGTCAAAATCAAGAGTAGTCAAGCTCCAGGAAATCGGTCACAAAATATGTAGGCTACAGCGAGTGGACGTGAACGTCCGTATGACAGCAGCAACATTAACATATGTCATATTTACCAAATCAACAAAAATGGATCTGACAGTATTGAAAACAAAAACAAAAACACAGAAATACCCCCCCCCCCTCCCGTGTATTAAGGAAATTCGAAACTGGGCCGCCTATTTTGGGGGGTATAATTTCACGAATTTTTACGGTGCGATCTAAAGAATGACTGAGGGCGCGCGCCTACGGAGTACGGTTGCGTTTGTTTTTTTTCTTAGAATATTTTGAGTGTATATTATTCATGAGCTCGGTGATATAGTATACAAATATTGAGTGGCTTAGCGTGGAATGGGAGGAATTTTATGGTATAATCGTAATATATATTATGGTTGCACGGCGCGTTATTTTCCCGAGCTCAATGAGCATGATGAGGCCGATGCCGAACTGGAGAATATTTATGGACAATAAAGATGCCTGATTGCCTCCTGTACAAAAGTATGTTGTACACAAACTACTGTATTTACAGCTGCACTGTATGGTAAACGAACTGAGCTAGTGAAGTTGAGCAGTACGATTTTTTGGTGAACTGGACAAGTTTTTCAAAAAAAAAAATTGGTGGCGCATACTGCAACGAAAAAAAAACTTATTATTTGCTTTGTTGAGAAAAAAAATGGCTAATATTAGTATTGGGATCAGATGGGAAGAGATTGGACTGATATTGTTCAAGTCAAATTGTAAACCATTTTTATTTATAAAGTTATGATAAAGACAGTTCGATTTTTCAAGTAGATTTTAATTCTACACGGTGTTTTAAATGAAAGTACCGGCTCACGCGGTAATGTTTGGGGCATTTCCTGTCCTTTCCTGGGCACTTTTATCATTTCGTTAAAATTTCCTGTCTTTTTGGAACGCGTGTAATTATTGGTACCACCAGAGTAGATGAGTCATGCTTGGCCCTGCCAAGTGTTTACAATTAACTAATGAGCGGATTAAGGGACACAATGGCTAAAGTCCAAGACGATGTCTATTGTGCATTTCTGCGGTTTGTTTGTAATGTTGTACCGCCTGGCACTGAGCCCGTTTGCGTGCCACTGCGTGCAAGTCCGTGCCAATGCGTGCCGATGCGTGCCGATGCGGGCCAGTGGGTTCAAAATCTCCTTTGTTCGAGCTTGCCTGCGTGCGCACGCGTGCGCACGGGGGCGCACGGGGGCGCACGCAAATCGGAATTAATCCACGGGGCCTTAATAATATGGACAACGGCCATATTGTCAGTGTTAAACCGCAGTTTGCGGTTCCGAAAACTAGACGCCCAACCAAGGATAGCGACCACTATGGGAAAGAGTTCGAGGAATGCAATGGATGGCGGGTGGGTTAATATATCAGAGGACCACTGACCTTGCATCCATTTCCCATCAAAATATGCACCAAAACCTATGCTAGCGGCCGCATCAGTGTACAAAGCAAGTGTTTCGTTATCCTCCCATTGCCGTCCAGAAAATGCTGATACGCCATTAAAACGCCCTAAGAATTCTAACCACATGAGTAAATCAAGTCGCGCTCCCTGAGAAATT